TTCCTGCTATGGGTCAATTTAAGCTTTATGGTCGTCCAGTGGCCTGTTTTGTTTTGAAAGGTGCCTAGATTCGGGCCTGATAAGTTATAATTTATATAGGGCACCGTGTTATTAACCAATTGAAGTATAAAGGGCGTTCCTTCCATTGCGACATTCTCCTGTGTACACTGGTATGACATATTGAGTAGGCTATACGGATTCAGGTCTGTCCAGTTGCTTAAAGGAATACCTAACACCGGTGCATCAAATCGATCTGCTGTCCCACAAAGCCAACAACTCTTGATTTGGGTATAATTAACAATCTGCCTAAGAAGCATAACATATCCATTAGCACTAAAAGCAGCATTAATCCCTATAATAGCGTTAAAAGCAATACTACCTCCTAAAAGCCACACTATATAGCTAATAATAACGGTAACACTTCCTCCTCCCATGTTGTTCTTCTGCAGGTTCACTTTCCACAGCTTTGCTTATCTCTGCTCACTCACTTCCTTTGTAGGGTAATCCTCAGGGGATTGTCAGGGTCCTCAGAGACAGTCCACTTATCTGTATCTCGATCAATTTGAGGAGGAACTAATTCTTCTGTCTCATTGTTCTGAAAGAGAGGAGCATCAACATCACCCTCCTGACTCGCAGAATCTCCTTCCGCGGCCTTCCTCCATGGCTTTACCCACCTCGCGAGTATCCATATCGGTCCCTCTTCTGCGAGTACACACGCATACCCTTGACCATGCATTAAAACCTCGTCCAGACCCTTCCAGTCACCGGTTTTCAGATCTTTGTACTGGACCAATACCTTCCTTCTGCAGTAATCTGACCCACCTCGTAAGGCACTGTTATGTACAATAATCGGGGGTTCTATACGATCCCCAGTGAGGCGTAAGAAATTAAGCACATAAAGCACTTTTGCAAGTCGTTCAGCTGGCGGGGCCCCAATCATTCCCCCTTTTTGTTTTTGCAAAAGTGACTTCAGAATTTGGTGCGCCCGCTCGACAATGGCCTGACCTGTAGGAGAATGGGGGATGCCTGTGGTATGTGTTATGCCCCACTGTTGGCAGAAATGCCAAAACGTTTTAGACACGTAGGCAGGCCCATTGTCTGTTTTTATAGCCAGCGGAGCACCCAAGGCCGCAATTGCAGTATGCATGTGCCGGCAAACGTGCCGCGCTGTTTCCCCTGCCTGTGACGTTGCCCACGTTGCCAACGAGAAGGTATCTATGCTCACATGTACGTACTTTAAGTGACCAAACTCAGGGACATGAGTGACGTCCATCTGCCATAACTGTAGCGATTGTAGCCCTCTGGGGTTAACTCCCAGACCTATACCGACCCCAGATTGTTGGCACGCTGGGCAAGCCTGCACTATTCCCCGGGCATCTCCTACGGACAACCGAAATTGCCGAGCAAGCATTTTGGCTGACTGGTGGAAGAAATCATGGGATAGACGCGCTTGTTCAAAAGTGTTTACAGGGGGACCCACCCACGCTGGAGTTACTAAATGGTCCGCCCTTTCCTTACCGGCAGCTAGACCAAAAGGAGCCTGGTGACTCCGGATATGCATGATAAAGAAAGAAATCTGGCGGGCAGCCAGAAGATGCAGCAGCTGGTGTAACAGCGACTGCAGCACTGAGTCGTTCATGGGCTTCAGCATCGACCCCTCCAGGCGCAACACCGTCCCAACTACGTACAGGGAGTCTGATACAATGTTAATCGGCTCCTGTGACCAGTTCTGAAAGACCCACAGAACTGCGCGAAGCTCTAAGGTCTGCAATGAGTCTCCTTGCACCCCTGGCAGCAACTCGTGCTTCCAACCATCGGGGGTTTTCCAGGTGACCGCCGCTCGATGGGACCTCCGCCCTGCATCCGTAAAGATAGTCTGACCCTTTACAGGGTGTTCAGAGCGAATAGGCAATTGTTCAATCACTTGATTCTGAAGAAGCGGCAGCAACCTGTCTCTCAGGTAATGAGTAGAGATCGCACCAAGGAAGTCGGTCACAGCTATTTGGAACTCTCCCGAGCTGGCCAGCAGCCATTCCAGATAAGCCTGAGATGCTGGCACTATTATCCCTGCAGGTTCTATTCCGGATATCTCAACAATTCGTTTTCGTCCTTTCATAATAAGCTGGGCAAACAGCTCTGGCCTAGTAGTGACCGTTTTGCGAGGCTAGTACGAAAGGAAAACCCACTCCAAAATGTGCAGCGTTCGCAAACCCTGGAGTATCTGAGCTATAAGCCCCATAGGATGTTGGTGAGACCCTCCCGAATTAACGATAAGGAACCAAATCTTTTTCTCTAATATTATCCGACTCGCGTAGGCACCCGCTATTTTTTCCGCGATCGCTTGGACCGCCTCCCGCTGTTCCTTAGACAACTCACGTGCCTCACTTGCATTGACTGATGTGCCTAGCAGGGGCATTAGTGGTGCTATATCATCGTTGGTGATACCACATATTCCCCTGACCCACTGTATATCTCCAACCAACCTTTGCACATCCACAAGGGTCCGAACCTCCGTCCTAATTGCTATCTTTTGGGGCCGAATCTCACTCCCCATAATTGTCCAACCTAGATAATTCCACGGCCCCTGGCGTTGCACCTTTTCCGGAGCTATGGTCAATCCCCTTTTACCTAGCTCTTCCCCTACTTCCTGAAAAACCGACTTCATGCACATGTTTTCCCCAGCTATCAGAATGTCACCCATGTAGTGATAGATCAGCAACTCTGGATGCTTTGCACGTACTGGTTGCAGTGCCCAGGCCACAAATGTTTGACAGATAGTAGGGGAATTTTTCATACCTTGTGGTAGAACTACCCAATGATAACGTTTCGCTGGTGCGGCCTTGTTGATCGACGGTACTATGAAAGCGAACTTCTCTGCATCTTGAGGATGGAGGGCTATCGTGAAAAAGCAATCCTTTAAATCAATAATTAATAAATCCCAGCCTTCCGGTAGCATGACCGGTGATGGAAGGCCAGGCTGAAGGGCGCCCATATCCTGCATTACTGCATTAATTGCCCGAAGGTCATGGAGAAGCCTCCATTTCCCTGACTTTTTCGGAATTGTAAAGATTGGGGTGTTCCACGGGCTTTGAGATGGAACAATATGCCCCGCCTCTAATTGCTCTTGAACTAATTGTTCAACAATGTGCAGCCGATCTTGCTTGAGCGGCCACTGGTCTACCCAAACGGGAGTTTCCATTTTCCATGTTAGCTTCAGGGTCGACTGCACCCCAATGGCCGCTACTAAAAAGGCGCTGTAGTCAACCTGGTTCCCATTTGACTCAAAAGATCCCGTCCCAGTAATGCCACCGGAAGGTCCAATATATATGGTCGGGCTCCTATCACCGTCCCATCAGAAAATTTAAAGGTAATTGTGTCCCTGCTGATTACCGTCCACTGTGCTCCTCCTACGCCCATAACAGAGGTGGCGGCCAGAGATATCGGCCAGGCGCGTGGCCACATATGCTGAGGGATGATGGATACGTCTGCCCCTGTATCCACCACCATGGTAAGAGTAATCGTCTGGCCCCCAGGATGTTGGAGACGAACAAGCTCCTCCGGCTTGCCCTTTTTAATATCAATGGCCAATAGCATGTTCAGAGGGCCAGTAGATCCGAACTCGCCATTGCACCTCTCTGTTAGAGCATCATGAGGAACGCAGGCCTTGAACGGTATCAGCTGCGCTATCTTACTATGTGCTGGGATTGTTACTGGGGGCGCGCTTGTATACACCATTATCTTAATTACGCCTGTATAATCGGCATCAATTAGACCAGGAACGACAAAGATACCCTGCCGCGATACCGATGATCTCCCCAGTAACAATGCACTCAGCCCCTGCCCTAGCGGACCAGATAATTCTGACTCAATCACTCGCACTCTCGTATCGGTTAGCATGACATCTACTGCGGTTGCCACGTCCACTCCGGCACTTCCCCTTGTTGCTGCGCTGCAGCGCTCCAAGCACCCTGTACTTGTGTCGTTGTGCGGGGGCGAACCGCGCTCGGCCTCCCGTTTCCCGACCCCCTGCATTCCCAGGTGTTATGAGAGGGCTTATTGCAACGATCACACCACTTGCCAGGCAGCTGCTGGCCTCGTTGACCTTCCTGCTGTGCTGGCAGGTTCCTGCACTGCGCTTTAAAATGACCTTCCTTACCGCAATTAAAACACTTCTTATCTCTGTCCCGCTTTCCCCCATTTCATTTTGACTGAGGAACAAGCGGGCGCACCGCCGCCCCTACCGCGGCAGCCATGAACGCAGCTTTCTCTTGTTCTCCAAAACGTTCGACAGCTTCCAACGTTTGGGCAGCAGTTGCACCCTGTGGTAAGAGGCTAAGGGCCTTTTTGGTCCTTTCATTAGCATTATCATAAGCAAGCACGTCTAAAAATTTGCCTTGCATGTCCCCGCCCAGATCCGGGTGGGACGAGATTGCCGTGTGCAGGCGATCAACAAATTTGGAATAAGGCTCCGTCGGTCCCTGCCAGACACTAGTGAAGGCAGGGGACACGTTATCCGCAGGGAGCGACATTATTGCCTTCAGGGCCAATTCCGCAGCCAGACGCAGAACCTCAATGGAAAGCGCGCCTGCCACTCGAGATTAGCAAATGGCCCTGTACCCATAAGCATCTCGGTTGTAATGCCAAATAATGGATCATTTTGCTGGCGTGGAACAGCGGTAGCTGCGTCACAGAGGCTCTTCCACTTATCCCCAAATAAAATCCGCTGGGATGGTGTCAGAATAGTTTGACTCAGCATATGCGCATCATAGGGGACTAGGGTCTGAGAAGAGAACACATGTTCTATAACTGACTGAGTGTAGGCTGACTTCAGACTGTACTGAGTCACCGCTGACTTAAGTTCCTTCACCATCTTCCAGTCTAATGCCTCCCAATGATCCACCCCCTGGCCATCAGTAAACGCCAGATATGCTGTAATCCCCAATTCCATAAAAGACCCTTCAATGACCGCATCACGTATAATACCCTTCCACCTAGTAGCCGCGCTAGCCCCCCCCCACCAGATACAAGGGCGGGGGAGCAACGCAACAAGGAGGGGGAGGAGGAGCGGAAGGCCACCCAGCACCGCCCTCCGCCCCTGAGTTCGTTTTCGACTCTAAAGCTGCTAGGCGTCGTGCCAACTCCTGCAGGTCCAAGCTGGTCCGGCCGTCGTCCGGTCTCTGCTGTCGGCGCAGGGTCGTCGGTGACGTCGGAGAAGAGGGAGTCTCCGGGAGGGGAGGGTACAGGGCAGCCGCCTCTTCACTCCCCGCTGCAGAACTCGGCGCAGGGGGCACCGGATCGGCGGGGTTCGCACA